CGGAGAGCGAGAGTAGAGAGAGAGGAGCTAAGTAGCAGCCAGGTCGGAGCGGCGGTATCGCCGGTGACGAGGAGCGGACCAGAGAACGTTAAAGTCCTAAGGTCGAGGAGAACGTACTTCGAGGCGTTGAGCCTGAAGACTTAGAGAAGAGTTAAGTTGAGAAGGGAGATCTAAGTTGATCTAAGTTGATAATTAAACTGAGGAACTACAGTAGCGTACAGGCAGTATTTATATCTACGGAACGGCGCATCGGTGCGAAGCGCCAGACTAACTACTAGGAGCTATACAAGTAGTACCTGCAGGGTAGAGTAAAGACAATAAGGAAAGACTAGGACGAAAGAGTAAAAGACAATAATAAGAGACTAGAACGAAAGGATATGTGTAGCGAGAAAGAACAATAGGAAGAGATTACAATAAGAGCAGATCTTCGGAGTACCGAGCGGCGGAATGGAGGCCCGCGGCATGGACTTGACAACAATATCATTGTCTGGAGCTCAAATTGAGAAGCAATATGACTATGTGGTAGGATTTTGTACACAATATTGCATATTTACAGATTACATGGAGCTGCATAAAGTTGCGCGGAGCTGCGCGGAGCTGCGCGGAGCTGCGCGGAGCTGCGCGGAACTGTGCGGCACTGCGTGGGACTGGTGCCGCAGGGGTTACGGCAAAAGTTCTGTGCCCGTATACAAATCTATTCTCTGAACGGTAGACTTTTCTTCTTGCATGAATGTTTCACACAGGTACAAGACCAACTTTATAGGAACTCAAGCAGCTGGATCTAGTCTTTTTTTTCAACTGATTTCTACAAGATCATTGAGGAGTGAACTTGTAGTCTCTTGCAATTGCATTGAACTAGATCACTTCCAGGTTCAATGGTATCTTGATGGTCTCTATGATCAATTTACCTGACTCAATTGAAATTTCTGGCAAGTGCAGGAACTATAGAAATAAGTGCAGCAACAATTAAAGTAATATGTTTGCTACATGTGGTGACAATGTATACAGGCAAGCATCTAGCAATGCTGAATGTATGACTGTTTAGTGTGTCATTTTGAGCAGTGCTATACACATGATTCCCCAGTATGGGTATCAGATGTAAGGAGATTCAGTTTCTCACTTGTGTACTTGACGAAGGACTGATATCCAAACTCAGCACAAGGCAGCTGAGATGGATTTGAGTGCTGACAGTTATACTGAAGCAGGTACACTGCACTGGAGTGCAGTAACTATGGAAACTGTCACTGCAAAAGTTGTGTCCCCATTTCTTGAATTACTTCGGTAACGCACCGGAATAAATGGCCTAATCAATAACCTGCTAATACTGAACATACTTAACTATCAAATAAAGATTCAGGATAACAAAATCAAATTGGACTTATGGATTGAGGAACAATATGACTAGAATACCACCGTAGGAGAATTATGCACACAATAATGCATTTTTACAAACTACACAGAGCTGCATGAAATTGCGCGGAAAATGTGGGGCACTGCGTGGGACTGGTGCCCCAGGGGTTACGGCAAAAGCTCTGTGCCCAGTCGATTGTATAGCAAAATATGAATGAATATAAAAGAATAACAGGATAGTCCTTATTGAACTTATAGAAGAGTATTGATATCAACAGAAAAAAAGTAGAGAGCCAACTAGCCAGGGAATGAATTCAAGTCATATATGTATGACACAGCTGACTATCTAATAAAATATTTTGGTGTGACTTACAATGTACCAATGCGGGTGAGGGTTCGGGAGAAGGGAACATTTTTGTAATTCCAAATGGTGCCGCAAATGGTTTCCAATGAATCAACTTGAAACTGTGTCTTCAGAGGAATTCCAATGCTTAGCCTGCCTGTTTCTTCCCAATTGGGAAGAATGTTGTTGACAAAATGTTGGGCAAGGAGCATAAATGCCTCATTACTTGAAACATGGCCACTTAACGGAAGCAAGATGTTTAAGGCAAGTAAGGTTCTAGTAGGAAATTTCTTTGGATCCAGGCACTTCCGTAGTTCCGATTGAATCCTATTAGTATCACAGGACTCTTCCAGAGAGAAGAACGGAAGAATATTCAAGGTGAGTGTTTTTAGGACAAGTGGAGAACTGCCGAGGAAAGTGTTCATGGTTTGGCACAGAGCCTCAATATCATGTGTTTGTAAAGTCAGTGAATGAAGGTTTGGAAGACTCCCAATGTTCAATGTCTGAATCCCTGTGAAGAATCAGACTTGATGTCTAGAAAAATAGTTTGAACATCTCCTACTTTGGTCATTCATTCCATGCTGCAATTTATAATTATACTCCAATCCAAGGGATAATGATTTCAATGTATCATTATTAGCAATGAGAAATGGTTCCAGGGAACAAATAAGTCCCCAACCATTCCTGGTGTTATTATAGATCATTATATCCAGAGTATGGATTTGAGGTGCATATTTGGAATGGTCAAGCATCCAATGGAGGAATTTGGAAGGATTGGACATGCGCAAGCGAAGCTTCCGGAGATTTGGGAGAAAACTTTGTTGACCTTCCATATTTGGTGGAGGTAACAAAGGTCCCCGTACATCACTGGATATGTTTGTAAAGATGCATAAACTTTCGAGCTGAGGGAGAGAGCTGATCACTTGGGATATGTCTTTGGACCATACATCTGCCATATTAGAGTAGACAAAGCTGCTTATGGCAGGAAATCTGTGGGAGATTTGTAGATTTTTTGTGAAACTGATATCTGCATGGTACTGCACAATCAGCAGCATCCCTGTGAGTTTTGTGTGCATGGCCAGCAAATCAATGCATCTTTGCAGCACTCCTGACCATTGGATGTTCAACACACATCCTTGTACTGTGTTCCGGAAGGTACACATTGGAGCTTCCAGGAGCTTCAAAAAAGCTCCTGTGTTGTCCTTTGCACTACGATGAAGGGACATCTGCAAAACCTGTATGTTCGGCTAAATAGCCGAAAGCAGCTCAGAGCACTTGGGAGCACTTCCCAGCAGCGAAAGCACCCAGAGCAGCCTTTGATTTTTGCTTTGGGTGCTTTTGTCGCTGGAGAGCGCTCTCCAGCTAGTATCCTTGCTCTGGCGAGTATACATGTTTTGCAGATGGATACTTGATACAAGACTGGAATACGGAAGAGATGATAACGAGTTGCAGGTAGCCACCTCCGAGATACCAAGCTACTCAAAGCAAGACATGGCACAGATGTGTGAAGGAAGTCTAGGATGTAATCCACAAGCTCTTGCGAAAAGATGGCCATGAATGTGGGTGTCAATTGTTCACTCGAGTTGTAGCATATATACACTCAGGTTCCACGCGGAATCAGTCCACGATATGGGCGGCAGGGGTAATGATTGGAACAATCATAACCGAGGGAATAGTCATAGGGACTTCTGACAGAATAAATCTCACACTCGCGGGAGTTATCAGCATAATCGAGCTTATGGCATGCCGCCGCCACGTCTCAGCCAGCCTGCACTGACTGCCCCTGCAAAGGATAAGCAGGACCTGAGGTTAGCTATTGGGGTGTTTCAAGGCCAATATGCCACTGCCACTGTGGGTGAACAGATTGCCCTCATTGTGCAAACTGTTCCGAGGAGCTTCATCCCCAGCAATGCCAGGAGAGATGACTACTGGTTTGGGTTATTGGTAATGACATTCAGGTCCTACAATGACAGGGATGCTTTTATGCAGGAGTGGAGCACATACTATAAGAATTCATTGTTGAAGCGGGAAGCATCTGCAAAACCTGGATGTTCGCGAGAGCAAGGGTACTAGCTGGAGAGCGCTCTCCAGCGCTGAAAGCACTCCCAGCAGTTTTTAAGTACTGCTGGGAGTGCTTTCCCAGCTGGACAGTGCTGTCAACTGCTTTCAAGCTCTTAGCCGAAAATACAGGTTTTACAGATGAGGATTGAAGCTCTGGGGTATTGGGGAGGATTTCTAGAGAGGGTGGAGGGTTTTTCCTTGGGGCAATGAGGTCAAATCTGAACAAACAGGAGGGGGCAGTACTAAATTACAGCTGGAGTAACACACTGCATGCATATTGAGGCAGGGAAGATTGTGTAATTCATGATACCATGGGAGGGTTTTTTCCCCTCAATAACCCGGACATGAATGAACATAATCGCCCCCCTGTATTAGATATGTGTGTTCCATTATTGTACAACATTATGTAATATTGTACAGTACATGGTAAACTGGTCATTTGGGAATCAGACCTCACCAGTATAATTCATATCCTATCCTATCCTATCCACTCAGCATACTTTCCATTTGAAATGATCTGCTTTTGATCATCTAGTTGATGACAACAAGCCGATGCCAGATCAGCATATGATCAGACTGTAACGCACACAATAATTTGCCCTGGGCACACCATAGAATATGTCAACCCGCGGGGTACCCCGGATAAACTGGTCAACTAGTTGTTGCAGTTTTCAGTACTTTGACCGCCATACCCGCTGTAGTTCTGTGCGCTGCCTGATAAGAAAGCATGTAAATTCACACGAGATTGTGAACCCTTCAACTTCGTAAATGAACGGGGAAGAGCAAATACTTGAGGCCAAATATATACACTGAGCATTCCGATTCCTCATATTTTTCTTGTGGAATGATCTGCTTCTGATCATCTAGTAATTGGATTTTTCATTGAGCAAGCCCATGCCAAATCAACCCATTATCTGACTGTAAAATAATATGCCATAGGTATACCATAGGATATGTCAACCGCCGGGTACCCCGGCCAAATCGGTCAGCAAAGTGTTACAGTGTGTGGGCTCCCTTATTTTTATTTCACCATTTCAACCGCCATACCCATAGTGGTTCCATGCACTGTCTGATGATAAGAGGACGTGGCAATTCACAAAAGATTAAGAACACTACAACTGAATAGGTAAGAGCAATATTTAAAGCCTTTAAGCATATACTGTTCCTCAGGTCAGGTACTTGTTCCTCTGCTGGTCAGACAAAAAAACTCCCTATATTCCTACACGCTCCCTTGCCATCTTGCCATATGCATTTTCAACTTCTCTCCATCACCTGTACTCTGGTACTTTTGGTTGCAACTGCCCCTGTTGACAAGCCAAGGGTAATTATATTGCTATGCCAATTTTCAAAACTGAATCAAAAGCTCTACTAGGTCAGAGATGTTTTGAAGCTGGCAAATCCCAAATCCATCACCAGAATATCTAGCACCCAAGACAGTGCAAATATCAATGTGGTAAGTCATCAAACTTGACAAGAATCACATCTGCACTTCTCTCATTGCATATGTTATGTGCTCAGTGCCATGCACTCACAAGTATTATTGGTTCAAATCATTCCAATAAGAGCAAGCGAGCTGATGTTCAACATCCTGCTGGGAAAAGCAATGTTGTTTTGTTCCATGGCACCTATAGCATAGCCAGTGCTACTGCTCTAAAATCTGAAGTAAATCTAGAGCTAAGTGCTAAACATGGGGATTTGCATAGCACTATGGTCTGTAAGTGCCATGAATTAATGATCAATAATTGGATATACATCTGTAAAACCTGGATTTTCGGCTAATAGCTGGAGAGCAGCTGACAGCGCTGTCCAGCTGGGAAAGCACCCCCAGCAGTTGATCAATACTGCTGGGAGTGTTTTCAGTGCTGGACAGCGCTCTCCAACCAGTATCCTTGCTCTGGCGAACATCCATGTTTTGCAGATGTACCTATTTGACATATTTTTCTCCAGCTGGTGTTAATGGCGGGTTTTATCTAACTGATAGTCTTTTGGCTGCTGGTCAATTTGCATGCAGAGATGTGGAACCAAAAGCCTATATTCTTGGTGAGCTAATAACAAACCTTGTTGATATCTTTGGAACTTAATTACGGAGGCATAGAATATGAATGGACTGGTGCAAGGTATGGGCTTAGATTCAGTTGAACATATAATTGAGGTGGACTGAATTTACCTAAAGTCTTCCAGTGAAAGACTATCAGGCAGGGGGTGATTTCAAGGCATATCTTGAATATGAAAAGTATGCATATCCTCGCAATGCTGCCCTGGACCAAGTCATGAAGGACAATGTAATGATTTCTGGGTACAATTTTTTTTCATCAAAATGGGAGTTTTCTACATTGGCTCGATTCCTCTCACTTAGACCAATGAATGCACGTGGTGTGGATGATTGCCTCAGTGATGATTTCTGGCAATATGCTTTAATTAAGCAACAAGCAGCCACCTCCAATCTCAAGTATATTACAACATATGAAGTTGTCTGCAGTGCAGTTCCTGATGGAAACAAGCTCAATGATGTGCTTTACAGTGCTAGTCAAAAGAGCAGTCCAGTTTTTCCTGAAATGGTGAAACAGTTGACAGAGTGCAAGAAAGGTCCCTTTGATTGGCATACTGCAGTAGTAGTAAATCAATGTCGTTAAAAACTATTACAGGAATTACAGTCAATAATGTTATTTGTGGAAAAAAATACTTGCATAAAAATTTTTACTTCTTACAATGAAAGCCAACGTCTCCCTGCTTCACAGAACAGAAAATCACTATATTCCATTCAACTTGAACAAAATCTTCCTTGAATTATGGGTCCCAGTGATATCACATGCATTTCACGTGTCTCCTGTCATAGCCTTGATCATCAGGACAGTTCTCTGCATTCAGCCACAACTAATCTGTTACATGATATCTTCTGCCAAAGTCCTTACATGTATCCAAGTGACCTCTAATGAATTCTAGCCCCCTGAAATAGTTCATTCACATTGTGTATGTTGTACTTATGAATCAAACGGGGGAAAAAACCCAAGGAAGTAGGAGAAGAATAAATAAATTGCATAAAACTATGAGCATAAAAAGAACATATGTTGGTGAAAGGTGGACAGTATGATTATTGGCCATGATTTTTGGATGGATTGCAATCTCATATTGTTTCCATACATAGCAGCTTGCAAATTCACCACCCTGGGCATTAATTTCAGCTCTATTGTTCCAGCCTGAGAGTGTTAGAACAAATAAGTCTCAGTTGAAAGAAAAGCAACTAAATATTCCTGTATGTACCTGTTAGAACAAATAAGTCTACGAAAGTCAGTATGCTCGTCGTATGTATATGCGGTTGCCAGGCTCACCTCAGTTGATAGAAAAGCAACCGAGGTGTCCTGAACAGTCTGGCATCGTGATCAGGTATGTACTGTACAGTATTCTGTAATAACGCCGTGATGGAGTATTGATGTCGAAGGTGTACAAGTATGTAAGTATAGTACGTACGGAGTAATCCCCAACAGAGAGCAATCTGACAATCTGTCCATTGCCCTAGCAAAGTGCACCATTCAGCAAATCATCATCAACCCTATGACCATTCAAAACATAACAGGCATCAATGTCAATGTAGCCATTAAAAGCAGCAGCTTGGAGAGCACTGGTATATTCACCACCCTGAGCATTTATATAAGCTCCACAATCCAAAAGATATATGACCATATCTTCACAGCCCCAGAATGCAGCAGTTTGGAGAGCTGTTCCAAATCTACTACCTTGGATATTAATACCTGTTTAACCATGTTTTTTTGGTTCCTGTAGGCAGCAGCTGCAAGGGCACTCCAGAGCCCACCCCCTGAGTATTCAAATTGCCTTCCTGCTTCAAAAGACATTCAACGACAGCTCTGCCAAAATGCTGCAGCTTGGAGAGCACTCCCGTAACCCTGTAGATTTACATTCACTCCTTTCTGAAGAACCTTATTCAAAATGTTTTCATTGCTATGACATGCAGCAGTATGAAGAGCATTCCCATATTCACCACTTGGAGTCTCAATATCAGCTCCATTCTCAAGAAAAAAGTTGATGAAAATCCTCATTCAATTTCTTATCCTTCATCCATAGTGCCATCAAATATAAAGGCTTGAAGAGCATTTCCATATATTCCACCCTTGCTCATTGATTTTTGATCTATTTTTGAACAGATACTTGCCTGTACTTTCATTCCTAAGGAGGAAATTTACAATGTTTCCATGGCATTCCCAATTCTATGGCATATTTTGTGGAACCTTAATCTGATGGTCAAATCTCTACTACAGAGCTGAGAAATGATTGATTGATATGAGTATCTGATAACATATAGCAAGCTGATAGTAAGTATGTCCCTGCCACACAGTGGTCAGACATGATGAGAAAAAGTGCTTTAAATTGATGAAGGAAACATATACAACCTTGTTTTTTTTTTCCTTTGGGGAACCCAGCTGTCCTCAATAGGGCTTGTGTTGATTTCCTCATTTGATTTCATTCCTTTTTCCTTGTTCATTTCAGTTTGCAGGCAAGTTTGCTGCGAGAGATTCAACCTGACTAAACTAGAACTTGAATGACTACTGATAAATACTTTATTGAAATAACTCTTAGCATCTTTGGCCCTTGGGTGGGTTTGTTATCCAAGCACAGGTGATGTACCTGCGGAAGAATCATTCACTTTAGCTCTATCTTCCTGAATCCTGATTTGATAGAGCATCTTCCATTTCCAAATCTGATGATCCTTGTGAATTTTGCTCAATCGGTGGAGCCGACCCAAATGCCATTGTCGAGACTTTGGTAGTTTCCTGTGCGGGGTGATAGCGGTTCCATAGCTGGTGTGCGGCCGCAACAAGGACTGCAAAGTTTGATATGGTTACGGAGACGGATAGCTGCCCCGGTCAGTTCAAAGCATAAGTATATACAATTATGAAAATAGTTTGGATGGATGTACCTCGACGTTGCTGACTAGGATGGATATTTGTGTACCCTGGAGGAGATACACAGCGTGGACAATTGAAACGATGGTGGTTAGACCGCCTACGATGAATGATACACCGAGACGAATTTTTTGAGCTTGCGCTTGAGCGGACTGGAGGTACCGAAGTAGGATAAGAGGGAATACTACTAAAATGACATCTGCAAAAGCATCGGCTGTGAAAGAACGAGGCAAATGAAAGGTTTGTAACGAAGTAGAGGGGTTCAGTGATTACCTATATGTACGTGATAATTAGATATGAGAGTACATACTAGTAACTTGCGTGATTGCAACGCTCCGCCCGAGAACACACTGCGGAACTGGGTCCACCTTCCAATGATTAAGCTGATCTTGAGGCTCGCAAACCCAGAATACCTGTGCCACAAGGATAAGACAAGCGAGTGTGAAGCACACAGCGGCAGTGTAAAGTCGTCTTTGGAATGAACCCAAGCGAATGATGGTCAAAAGGATCGAGAGACGGGATGCCCTGTGCCGAGGTCCAAGAGTAAGTGAGTGATGTAGATTATTGAAGAATTTACTGACCACACCGTCGTATCGAAAGTGACCGCGAAGATATAATATAATGCGACACGCGAGTGTTGAGGTATTGTACTGGCATCTGAATGGCAAGAGAATAGAATCAACTCACTCGTATACCATATATAATCAAATGAAATTCGAAAAAAAGAAAAAACACTGGCATGCTTACCGGTAATTCCATAGTATGTTTTCCCCGCAACAGCTGTTATGATAAGGGATATAAGGGCCAGAAGGGCCAAGACATCGTCCCACCAAAGCTTTCTCACTCGCAAAGCCAAACGGATCACAGTGGTACTCCCAGCCAATGACATTCCCACATAAGCAGAAACTAAGCATTAAATATGAAGTATGTCCCAATGTCAAGATAACTAGTCTAGAGGAACGAGAGCGGAACTCACGAAGGATCTTATGCTGAATGTCAGGCCCAGGAAATGAGCCCGTGTTCAAGCTCAAGTTTGAGGATTGGGTGGACAAGGTCACCAGTCGGCCGTTAAAGTGACGAGGGTCATGGTCATACATCCTTTGAATGATGCGGGAGTTGGGTTATTTCCACCAACACGTATGGCAGGATTGTGGAAGATATAATGAACTCGAAGATATACAAGGGAAAGGTATTTTATGAGTTCCGAGAACAGTGCTCACTCCACCCCCAAGTTCCATTCAACTTCCAATTAAGTGCATCATGCGCATGCTCAGGGCGAATCCCATTTGAATGGAAGTTATAATTACTCACATCCATCTGTGTACGTAGAACGCGATAGCTGTTGAGGGCAGAGTATAGTTATTTATGTGTATGAATGAGATGGAACCCACATATCGGCAGTTTTTTCTCATCCTCCATCTATCTATCTATCTATCAAAGATGGATGGATTTTAAGAAGTACTTTTTTTCCCCCATTCTCTGCCCGAGAAAGATCACAGTTCCAAGGGTACATGATTCACTTGATTCACTACAGTGGAAGAGGTTGATTTGACGATCATGACAAGGAATGGGAAGTTTGATGCTATGCAGAGTATCTGTGACTGCTCGGGAGTAAGAAGGAGACACGATGAAGACATCTGATCATGTTTGTATGTTTGCCTTGGATACGTGCCGCCCCCGTCCATCTGCTGAAAATGTCTTGTATTTGTATTTGTGGCCACTTACAAGTCGATCTTCTTCAATCGGGGGGATCCCAGGACCACGTTTCTAGATCTACCTACCAAGTTAAGTAGTAAGTACACCTTGAGTGTGAGATTGATCACCCCCCCCCCCTCCCAATCTCTGGTCAAAGCTTGTCAGTTGTCCCTATATCTCACCTGATGTAAGACCTTTGCCCAAATGACACAAATGAATGCGTGTGGAGGAGAATTCCCCGCGGGGTAAGTAAGTGAAATGAAATATGGAAACCTATGTAAATAGATGCGTGAAGTCAAACATGATAAGTATTAATTGAATCCAGATACAAATTTCACTTCAAAATAAGGCTCAAAGAAGTGTGTATGTGAATATACTATATGAATGCATCTGCAAAACATGTATACTCGCCAGAGCAAGGATACTAGCTGGAGAGCGCTCTCCAGCGACGAAAGCACCCAAAGCAAAAATCAAAGCCTGCTCTGGGTGCTTTTGCTGCTGGGAAGTGCTCCCAAGTGCTCTGAGCTGCTTTCGGCTATTTAGCCGAACATACAGGTTTTTGTCACGAAGCGGCAGAGGCGGAGTGACTAACGGAGCGGGAAAGCGGAGCGACTAAGCAGAACGGTGAGGCGGAGCAACTGGACAAGGCAACAAGGCGGAGCGACTAAGCAGAATGGCGGCAGGCTGGTCCCAGATAATGACAGAGATATATTGAGTATCGTAGTCATAGGTAATAATAAGTAAGCACATACCTGGTCCCAGATAATGACAGAGAGGTCAAGATAAGGGACCAGGCTGTGGAGGGTTGGCTATATATACATAATCCGGTCTGCGAGAAACAACGATGTAATACTGTACAGTTTAGGAACAAGGAAGGTGGCGGAAGCCAATAGAAGGAGAAGATGGGTCAGGTGGATCAGTAATCGATGGATCAGTAATCGATGGGGGTTTGACAGTGATGGGATGATGTATCGTACAAGTAAAGGCATCGAGACGGTGAGAAAAGGAAAATGATAGGGGCTGCGTACTTTATGACAGTTTTGCAGATGTGCTAATGCTGCAATGACTTGGACAGCGACTGCAGAGCTTTTCCTCATTTACCTCCCTTCCCTTCCATATTCACAGTTGACTCCTGTGATTCATGTGGCCCCACTGGCAACTATGTCAGGTGTTTTCCAAAAACAAACCCCAGTTGTATTAAGGGCAAGGATTGAAACCTTCCACGCCAATGGATGGGGTTTACTTTGCAAGAAAGAGGGGTGCAGTTCATATATGATATGGGGGTGAGCAATAGCCAAAGAGACAAATTCAAATTATTTTTATGAGGCAGCTCAGATTGATTTTTCATGAAATACTTGGTGGTCAAGACTCAAGAAACAGTGTATTTCAAACTAGTTGAAGGGTCTGTGATGTGAGGTGATGCTTTGGTTGGATATTTTATATTTTACTCCCCTGAATGAGTGTGGAGAGTCTGGTTTGTTGGGCATTGAGATTGGGGGATATTCCGACCCTAAGAGACAAGTTGATCATGCTGAGGGAGCACAGTTAAATGTGGCTTGTGATATACCACATATGATCACACTAGCTCATAGGTCTACATCTGCAAAACCTGTATTTTCGGCTAAGGGTCCGAAAGCAGTTGGGAGCACTTCCCAGCAGTGAAAGCACTCAGAGCATATTGCTTTCAGTGCTTTCAGCACTGGGATCTGCTGGGATCTGCTCTCAGACCTTAGCCGAATATCCAGGTTTTGCAGATGTAGATATCATCTGCAAAACCTGTAAAAGCAGCTCAAAACACTTCCTAGCAGCCAACGCACCCAGAGCAGGCTTTGCTTTTTTTTTTTTTTTTGCTCCGGGTGCTTTTGTTGCTGGAGAGCATTCTCCAGGTAGTAATGCTTGCTCTTGCTCTGGCAAGTATATACAGGTTTTTCCAGATGTGTTCAATGAGATATGATATGGTCACAAAACCTGTAAGTGACCCTCGGGAAACTTCATGGCTGGGTGATGATTGTAAGCAGTGATGAATGCAAGCAAACCAGACAGACAAACAGGCAGGCAGGTAGTGTGTAGTAATGAGATCTTAGGGTTGGAAGTCTTGACTCTTGAATTTGTGAATTTGTGATTTGTATCCACCACATGCTCTGCCACTTGGCTTTTACAAATTACAGCTTTCCAAGCATTGGGCAAAATGGGCGCATGGGGCATGAGTCCTGGCTCCACATGTCTGAATGCAAAGGCTTTTAGAAAACTCAGTGCAGGGGTGGTTTTTTTTTAAGTGCCAGATGAATCCTAGTATGTAACTAGTTCGAAAAAGTCCGAAAGGGGAAATAAGGGGAAAAAAAGGGGAAAAAAAGGTTAAAAGGTTTTAAAAAAGCCCCTGATAGGTTCATAGGTTGATAAGTTCATAGGTTGATACGTTGATTTCTGTCATCCCCCGTCATTTAAGTAAATCCCAAGGGAGGTAAGTATGTATATATGTAGGTTTCGAAATCCTGGTGCAACACAGTCAAAACACCAAAACAGCCAACCAAGTGGTGAGTGGTGAGTAAGAAGGTAAGAAGCAGTTTTGCAGTTGGGGTGGTGGGGTGGTGGGGTGGTGGGGAGTGCAGATGGTGATGAAGTAAAAGTAAAAAGTAGATTATAATTCATAAGCCAACAGTGCGTGCGTGTGTGTGTGTGTGTGTGTGTTTAGGATGGTGAGGGGGAAAGGGACCCAGGAGTTATGGTGAAGACGGTGACTTGGTAATGCAATTTGATTGTGTGCCCTAGGGGTGGGCAACCGTGGGGCTGGGGTGGTGAGAAGTGGGAAGTGGGAAGTGAGAAGTGGGAAGTGGGAAGTGAGAAGGTTGAGGTTGAGGTTCAGGGAAGAGGTGGGAGGAGGAGGAGTGAGAAGGTGGAGGTGGTTGAGGAAGGTTGAGGGAGGAGGAGGAGTGAGGAGGGTATATACATACACATATATACATATGTGTATATGTACTTGTGTATATGTACTTGTGTATGTACTTGTGTATACTGAGAATGTCTCATATAATGTCTCATATAATGGGAGGGAAGATCGAGGATCTATTGGGTGAGTGTTGAATAGGGTGAGGTATGAGAGTGAAAGAGTGGGTGGATGAGTGGGTGAGTGGGTGAAGGAAATGAGTGAGTGGATGAGGGAAAGAGTGAGTGAGTGGATGAGTGAGCAGAAGAGTGAGTGAAAGAGTGAAAGAGTGAGTGAGTAAATGAGCAAATGAATAAATGAGTACAGAGCTGGTGCAGAGTCCTCAAGAACGGGACACCCCGGGATAGCCCGTTATGAATCGGATGAATACCCCCACGCGTACATACTGTATGTATGTAAACCGGACGGCCGAAACGACCTTCGGAGGACGTTCGTCCGAAGGATGTGGGAGGATATGTGTTCACACGGGATGTTCCGTTCACTTCCCCGGAATGTAGTATGTATCCCACTTTTCACTTGATTCACTTGATTCACTCTATGTACCCGGACTCTTCCCTATTCTTCCCTATTCTTCCCTATTCTTCCCTACTCTCTCCCACTTGTGACTACATATAGTACCTGGACGTCATTTGATCGCGGGGTTTGTTTTACTTCCGTCCCACATCGATCACCTGCGGTGGTGGTATGATCTAACTCGAAAAAGAAGAAGAAGAAGGGGGGAGGTCGTCTGACCTACTCTAACCTATACCAGACCTATACTATATCATTGACCCCACGCCTCCAGGCCTGGTCGTCCGACAGTCCGAACGCTTATTGAAACATTGCCGTGTTTAGCTAGGGGATTCAACTACATAGGTATTCAACGCGTTGCCGTATTCAAGATTGCCGTATTTTAACTATTCCCGAACTATTCTAGCTGAACTATTCCAGAACACCTTGCCCTTATTCACTATACACTATTCAGCCGTATTCAGCTATTCACCTGGGATAGATTCAGCCATTCATCAGCGGCCGTTTACTCACTCAGCTCATCACGTTTTGTGTGTGGGGTATAAAGGAGGGATCAGCTCACGCACCCACGCATCTTTTACGCACGGCACACGACGTGGCGTTGGGGGTTCTTTCGGATTACTCTTTGGGATTGGATTAGTCGCACGGACTACTCGCACGGATAACCACGGACACTTCCACGGTTCGAACCGTAACGTAGCTGTCGCTTCGCTTCGTGGTTTACCTTTTTCCCTATACGTCGACCTCGAACTACTCAACCCTTGGAACTACTCGATCCTTGGAACTACTCGACACTTGGAACGGATTACCCTCTGGACAAGATTTAGATTGATTGATTGAAAGATACTGCTAGTAGAGAACGTCTTTGGTAGAACGATAGGATCTTTGGTTCGTCTCGTCTCATCCCATCCCTTCGATTCGATTCGATTCGCTTGTACGTCGTTGACTGAAGCTACGAGTATAGATACCACACCCCACCACATCACCTCAGGACACAAGACAATGTCATCCAAATCCACCCTCACTCCCACCTCTACCCCCGACCCATCCAACGCAGTAAACCCGGGTATGGCTACACCACCACCTACGACGACTACGCCAAAGAAGAAACCATACCCGTTCTGGCTAGGCGGTGTAGCTGCTACGATCGCTGCTAGTATTACACAGTGCGTTCCTCTCTGTCTTCCTCTTTCCCTTCCCTTCCCTTCCTCTCTCCTACCCTCTCTGTCGCTCACCCTCTCTCTCCTCTCCTTCCCTTTCCCTGCCTCCCTCCCACCCCCTCACCCTCTTTTTCTCTCACCCTCTTCTTCTCCCTCCCTTCTCCTCTCTCTGTCGCTCACCTCACCCCCTCCAGCCCCCTAGACCTAACAAAAGTCCGCCTCCAAGCCTCCGGCGACAAACGCATGCTCGCCTCCATCCAAAAGACCCTCCGCACCGCCGGCCCGCGCGGGCTCTTCGATGGGATCACCGGGACGTGGATGCGCCAGATGAGTTATTCGATGTGTAGGTTTTGGGCGTATGAGGAGAGTAAGAAGGTATGTGGTGTGTATGTGATGTGTATGTGGTGTGAGGGGGAGGGAGGGGGTGAAAGGGAGAAAGGCTGATTGTTTTGATTTATCGCTGTAGATGCTGGATGCTACGGCGCCGGGGGCACCGGCGTGGAAGTTGGGGCTGGCGGGGAGTATGGCGGGGGGGATTGCGGGGTTGGTTGGGAATCCGGGGGGTGAGCGTGCTTTTTTTCCTACTTCTCTCCTTCTCTCTTCCCTCTACTTCCACTCTCCGTTCCTCTCCTACGTCTGTTACTACTCGTAGTCGCTGATCGCTGATCCCACTCCTCCCATACGTCACCTAGAAATCGTAATGGTCCGTCTCCAAGGCGACTTTGCCAAACCCCCCGAGAAGAGGTTTAACTACAAACATTGTTTTGATGCGTTGTTTAGGGTGTGTTGCTTTCTCTTTCTTCCCTCTTTCTCTCTTTCTCTCTTGCTTTCTTCCTCTTCTTATCCGAACGTGTGATTGCTCCTATCCACCGACGTTGTACTGAGTATCCACCTCCTTGTACTGAGAGTCTCCCGTGTAGATGGTCAGAGAAGAAGGCCCCTCCTCTCTCGCACGCGGTGTTGGTCCCAATGTCTTTAGAGCGGTGTTGATGAATGCGTCGCAGTTGGCTAGGTGCCCTTTTCTCCTTTCTTCTCTCCCTTCCTCCTTCCCTCTCTCTTCCCTCTCTCCTCTTTCCTCTCTCCTTCCCTCTCTCCTTTTTCCTCTCTCCTTCCCTCCTCCTCGATGTCGAGTATCCAGTAACTAATCCGCGAGTACTAATCCGTGTTTTCGATTATGCACAGCTACGACTTCTTCAAAGCCTCCCTCCTCGCCACACCGTATTTCGAGGATAATATATATTGTCATTTCACGGCGAGTTTCGCTGCGGTGAGTTGTTTTCGCCGTTCTTTGTTGCTTGCTTGCTTTGTTTGTTGCTTGCTTTGTTTGTTTGCTTTGTTGCTTTGTTTGCTTTGTTTGTTTGCTTGCTTGCTTGCTTGCTTGCTTGCTTGCTTGTTTGTTTGTTGATGGGGAATTGGGTCTGGGGCTGGGGTCTTGCTTCGTTTCTCCGTTCTCTTCGTTTCTCGGTTCTCGGTTCTCCTCGCCCGCCTTGCTTTCTCACTTTCTCGCTTCCTTGGTTCTCTTCGTTCGCTTTTGTGCTTTTGTGCTCCGTGGCCGTGTGGTCCGAATTCTTGTCCTTGTGTCTTCGTTTCTCCCTTCTGTCTTCGTTTCTCCCTTCTCCTTCTGCCTTCGTGTTTCATACCCTCCTTATACCCTTCCCGTATTCCACGCACCCTTCCTGTATTCCACGTACCCCTTCTCGTATTCCACGGGGATTGGGATTGGGATTGGGATTGGGATTGGGATTAGTCATCGTCTTCCTCTGCAAGGAATGGGATCAGCTCGGGGAATTGGGAATGGGATTAGTCATCGTCTTCCTCTGCTAGGATCGGGATCAGCACAGGGAATGGGATCAGCACGGGGAATGGAATGGAATGGGATCAGCAAACACGGGGATTGGGTACAGGAATCGAACAATTTCCAAGTGGGTTATATTTCCAAGGATGGGTTATATACCACCCCCGTGCGGATTTAGATCGGTGATTATTACCTAGACGGGTAGAGGTGGGTAGAGGGGTGGATGGGTGTGTGGGTGGATGGGTGGGTGACAGGTTACGGGTGACGGGTGACGGGTTACCTCGTTCTACCTACGTCTGTGTGTATTTCCATGCGCTGTGTCCGTCCCGTCCCGTTTCCTACTCTCCTACTCTCCTGCGCTTTTGCTCGTTCGCTCTTTGGTTGTGATAGAACCCTTCTTCACTGTCCGACGTATTCTACAACGGGTTATTTACTACTTACTTATTTTCTTTGCTTTGCTTTGCTTTGCTTTGCGATACCCGTGTATCCCTTATCTTCACTCATCTCTCATCTCTCATCTCCCATAACTCACTCACTCTCTCCCCTCTCCCTCCCCCTCCCTCCCTCTCCTCTCCCCTTCCCCCTTCCTTCCCCCTCCCCCCTCTCCCCAATATCTTCAAACAAAAAACAGGGAACAGTAGCAACAACAGTCTGCTCCCCAGCAGACGTGTTGAAATCGAGGATCATGAACGCAAGTGGGCCGGGGAGTAGTGTGCGTTTTTTCTTTTCTTCTTTTCTTTTCTTCTTGTTTTTGTCTTTACTCATCCCTCTCCTCACCTTCTTGGCTCTCCCTACCCCTCCCCCTTCCTCTTTTCCCTTTCCCCCCCCCTCCCCTCTCCCCAACAGTCAACCATCCTCACCCTCCGCACCGCCCTCGCCACCGAAGGCCCCCTCTTCGTCTTCAAAGGCTGGGTCCCCGCGTGGGTCCGGCTCCAGCCCACCACTATTCTTATATTCCTTACGCTGGAGCAGTTGAGGAGGGGGGTTGAGTGGGGGAGGGGGAGGGGGTGGGTGGGGATTTGATGTGATTGTAATTGAGGAGGGGAAGGAGGGAGGGGGTGGATTTAGGTAGGTTGGATTTAGGTAGGGTGGATTTAGGGGGCTGTGATCTATTTGTATGGATGGATGGATGGGAGGGTTGGGAGGAGGGAAAGTGGAGGGATTGATACCCCCATGTAAGGGAACGAAGGATGGAAGCTTGGTTAGTTGGATGGATGTATTATTGAGTTGTTGGATTGTGAAAATGTAGGATTCGTTGTATATAGTATAGGGGAGGGTAGGATAGGGTAGTGTAGGGTGTGTATGGTGTGTAGGATAGATGATTCATATCGAACGGACGATATTATCATGATTATCATGGTTTTGATCTTGGGATCGTTGATGACTTTTTGTCGATGTCGTTCTAGTAGTAATAAGTATGTACTCCCTCTTATCCTACTTCGATACCTCCACCGCTCAAGCACATCACTACCTGCTTCCGTACCTCCACTCTGCTCAAGCGCAAGTGCAGAAAATTTGTGCTTGGCATATCATTCATCGCAAATCCATCGTAGTAGGCGGTCTCACTACTATCGTTTCGAATCTCGATCATCCACGCTGTGTATCTACTCCAGCCTGGTAACACACAACACAGTAATCCATCCTAGTCAGCAACGTCGATTCGAGACATCCATATAAACTATTTTCGTGGTGGTTGTGTGTTGGTTGTGCTTTCGGGCTGATTGGGGCAGCTATCCGTCTCCATGACTCATATCTATCAAACTTTACATAGTCCTTGTTGCAGCCGCGCACCAACTATGGAGGTGTTATCACATTGCACAGGGAACTATCACTGGAGAAAGTCCCCGACGATGGTGTTTGTTTGGGTCGGCTCCACAGACAGGGTTGAGTGAAATTCTTCACAGGGACCAGGAGATTTGGATGTGGGACATCGATGCCATATCAAATCAGGAAGATGGAAGATGGAGAGCTAAATCGAATGATTCTTCCGGTATCATATGTGCTCGGGATGATAACCCTTCCGAAGATGCCTTAATTAAGATCCATCAAGTCTTTGATATTATTATTTTGAAAAAGATTTTACCAACTGATTAGTCATGTCTTTGTCTCGGGGTGAGTTGAATCTCTTTAAAGTTAACCTGTTTCTGTGAACTGTCACATACTATGAAGCAGTACAAAGGATAAGAAATGAAAGGTGAGGTGACACGGTCCTTATGGGGAATAGCATTAGCCAGGCTCCCCAAAGGGAAAAAACAAAATTGTGTCACGAAGCGGCAGAGGCGGAGTGACTAGCGGAGCAGGAAGCGGGGTGACTAAGCCAGGCAGTGAGGCGGAGCGACTAAGCAGGTGAGTGAGGCGGAGCGACTAAGCGGAGCGGAGGCGAACTGGTCCCAGATAATGACAGAGATATATTGAGTATCGTAGTCATAGGTAATAATAAGTAAGCACATACCTGGTCCCAGATAATGACAGAGAGGTCAAGATAAGGGACCAGGCTGTGGAGGGTTGGCTATATATACATAATCCGGTCTGCGAGAAACAACGATGTAATACTGTACAGTTTAGGAACAAGGAAGGTGGCGGAAGCCGATAGAAGGAGAAGATGGGTCAGGTGGATCAGTAATCGATGGATCAGTAATCGATGGGAGTTTGACAGTGATGGGATGATGTATCGTACAAGTAAAGGCGTCGAGACGGTGAGAAAAGGAAAATGATAGGGGCTGCGTACTTTATGACATTACCCCCCTCCTTATGACCATTGCCCTCGATGGTCAAGGCTTTGCCGCTGTTGGGTGTTTTTTATGAAAGGCCCGAACCATTTTTGGTGCTCGACTGAGGTTGGCTGCGGGTTCCCAAGAGTTGTGCCCTGCATCGTAACCTTTCCACTTAACCAAATATTCCAACTTCTTCCATCGAACCCGGCTGTCTAAGATCTCCTCTACTTCGTATTCCGGTTCGTCTTCATCCTCTAAGTATACCGGCTCTGGTGGTGTTGGTATTTCGCCATTAATGGAGTTACCTTTCCAGGGGTATAGTTTATCGACATGGAAGACGGGATGGAGGCGATCTAGGGATAGGGGAAGGTCAAGGCGGTAATCTAAAGGGCCAATTTTCTCCAGAATGCGATAAGGGCCAAGCTGTCGATCTCCTAACTTTTCACTGGAAAGTTGAAGGTTAATATCCTCTGCACTGAGCCAGACTAGGTCTCCAACTTTAAATTGATGAGCTTTCCGCTTCCCGCGTTCGTATCCCTCCTTCTGTTGTTTCTTTCCTAGGTGTAAGGCAGCTCCGGCATCTTGTCGCGCTTCTCGGAGAATCCGTATACGGTCATCCACAGCTGGAATACCGCTGCGTTGGCCCACTGGGATATTGAACAGGGGAAGATAGCCGTAGGTTAGCTCGAACGGGGACATGCCTAGCGCAGAATGAGTCCGTGAGTTAATCACAAACTCCGCCATGGGAAGGTGCTCTGCCCAGTCGTCTTGTCGTCGTCCTACATAGAGGCGGATGTATTTCTCTACTTCCTGATTTGCTCGTTCGGTTTGGCCATTAGACTGAGGACGGTATCCGGAGGTTAGATCTGATTTAATTCCTAGCCTAGCGAGAAGGGATCGCATGAGTTTAGCTGCAAACTGGGGTCCGCGGTCGGATTTAAAGTGAAGAGGAAGACCATGGAGACGGAAGATCTCTCGGTAGTAAATATCGGCAACGCCTTCGGCTGTGATGGAGCTGGTGCAAGGAATGGCATGAATTTGTTTTCCATACAGGTCTGTGCAAACCAAGACAGCATCGTAGCCTTGGGAGTTAGGTAGCTGTGTTATCAGGTCAACCCCTACCTCTTCCCATAGACCGGATGGTACATCTAATGGTTAAGTTACGGCCCGTGGGTGTCGCTGGATCTTCTTACGGGCGCAAACCTCGCATCCTTCAACGTATTTTTCCACAAAAGAGCGCAACGTAGGCCACCAGAAATGGGTACTGACCAAGTCGAGTGTCCCGTGTAGTCCGGGGTGTCCTGCAGTTGGATGGTCGTGGCATTGACGGAGTACCTCAGTGCGTAGGTCGTCGTTTGCTGGTACGTATACTCGACCTCGGTAGTAGACCAACCCATTGTCTTCTTCCCATTCGGCTATCCCATTGGCCAAGCGCTGTAGTCCGTGCTCTTTGACTGTTTTGAGACCCTCCAATACCTGTGCCTCCCGTTCTGAGGCTTTCCGGATACGATCCTCTAAGGGGTTCTGTAGGATCGAAGCTGCAATTTTTACGAAGTGGCCAGGTTTAAGGACTGTCTGTTGTCGGTTATCATCGCTGTCCGATACATGATGAACTGCCATGCGGGAGAGAGCATCAGCTTGGGTGTTTACTCTACCAGGGCGGTGGATCATATGAAAGTCAAACCGTGACAGATAGAGGGCCCATCGGGCTTGTCGGCGGGTGAGGTCTTGTGCAGTGCGCCAGAATTCGAGGTTCGAATGGTCCGTAATGATGTCGAATGGTTGAGGGAGTCCTTCTAGAAAGTTCCTCCAATCCTTCAGTGCTTCAATGATAGCAAGCATTTCTCGATCGTAGATTTCGTAGTTCCGTTCCGCTGGCTGCATGGATGCCGATCTGAAGGCTACCGGATGCCATTGGCCATCGTCTTGCTTCTGCATAAGGGCGCCTCCCGTGGCAAAGCCTGATGCGTCTACCTCGATTCGAGTAGGCCTGTCTGGTGTCCATAGAGCAAGGATTGGTGCGGAGATGAAGGCTTCTCGAAGGGTATCAAATGCTTTCTGTCGAGTGTCGGTCCAGGTAAAGCTGGTGTCTTTCTTCGTCAGGTCGTTCAGAGGTCGTGCTATTTTGGCAAAATTCCGGATAAAGCGTCGGTAGAAGTTTGCAAATCCCAAGAATCCTCGTAGTTCCCGAAGATTAGTAGGGACTGGCCAGTCGCGAACAGCCGCTACTTTTACCGGATCCATTCTCACCTCCCCTTCTGAGATGATGAGTCCGAGGTATTCAATCTGTTGTTGTTCAAATTCGCATTTTTCTGGTCGTAGGTAGAGGTCGTGCTTTTCTAACCGGGTTAATACTTCCCGTACCATTCGTCGGTGTTCCTCGAGATCGTTACTGAAGATAAGGATGTCATCTAGATAGACTGCCACCTTGCCGGCTGCGATGAGATCAGCAAATATAGCATTCATAAGTGCTTGGAACGTGGCAGGGGAATTTGTGAGACCAAAGAACATGACCTTAGGCTCGAACAAGCCTCGGGTTGTTGCAAACGCGCCTTTCCATTCATGCCCCTTCTTAATCCGTATGTTATTGTAACCCCAGCGGACATCAAACTTCGTGAAGTATCTGGCTCCCTGAAGTCGACTAATGATGTCAGCAACTAATGGGAGAGGGTATCGGTTCTTCACAGTGTACTCGTTCAGTTTCCGGTAGTCTTGTACGAAACGGAGTTTCCCATCCTTCTTCTTTACGAAGAAGACCGGTGATGAGATTGGTGATTTTGAGGGGACGATATAGCCTTTTCGTAGGTTTTCTTCTAGGAAACGATCCAACTCCTCCTGCTCGTTTAGGGACATGGGATAAATCTTGGTACGCATGGTTGCCGGTGCTCCAGGTACGAGATCAATCGCATGGTCCCAAGGTTGGTGGGCAGGTAATCGTTCGGAGGCGGATTCTGAGAAAACCTTCTTGAAATCACGATACTGCTCAGGGACCATTTCTTCGAAGGTTTTAACGGGTTTGTCTCGGTTGGCTTCCTCTGCTAGCTGCTGGGAGTAAGTGAATCCTGCGGCGCACCAGACTTCCTCCGTCTGTTCCTCTAGAATTCCTGCTTTTACCCATGCCCGGCGAGTTTTATGATTAGCTCGAATTCGGTGTATTGGTGGTTCTTCCACCGCTGCTGATTCACTCGGTTCAAGGGTCGCTTCTAGTGGCACCTCAATGTGGGGGTTTTCTGCGAGAGGTTCCAGTTCCGGGAGTTCGAGGATCGGGGTTTCTGTGTGAGTG